GTTCAAACCCACCAGCCACTCCTTGGAAGGAAGGTTGGGCGATCTACTTCCATAGTGATACTGCCTTGGAAACCCAAGGAGGGGTCGCTATGAGTCAGGTCTGACTTGACACCAATAACGACAACAACAACAACAACCCAAGTTATATTAATATGTTGTCCCAGCTTCGGTTCCTCAAATTCAAAGCCTGTGATCTCCAATGAAGCCTAAATTATTGTTCTTTGTCACTTTTAGCTGAAGCCTCCGTTCACCTCCCTGGTCTAGAAATATTCAGCCTTTCTTGGAATAAGTGTGTTGGTGGCAACCTGAAGTTGCTTCTGGAAACACTAAAACTTTCAACATCTCTTCAAGTACTGAGGCTGAGCAGCTGTTCCCTGGTGACAGAGGATGTGGCTCTCTTGGGTTTGTATCTACTACTTCCAAAGTAGTCTTGGCAGGCAGAGCCCAGTATGCTTGCCCAGCCAAACATAGGGGTGGGAAGGTGGGGAAGGCAGTGAGGATTAGGGCTAAGTCCTCAGTGTAGCTTCCCTTTCCCCCAGCATCGCCTTAAAAAAGATCTGGTAAAGGCAAATAAGGGCAATCCAAAAACAAAAAGACAGTGGAGGATGTTTCATAAGAGGAGATGGATATAGATGTGATGGTAAGGAGGCTTCTGCCAGGCAGCCAGCTTCTTCTGCTCCACGCCTCCCTCACACATGAGAGTTTTCAATTCTCCCTAGCCAGATAAGTGCCAACTAACCTTCAGTTGCCTATATTCTACATTCACAAATTTTGTCCACATGGTACCTGTAGTATTTCTTAATCTTCTTCTTTATATTGACTCTTTAACTTAAATGCTCTTAACAGGAAATTTTGATCGTCACCACAACTGAAATGCAGGTAACATTAATCATAGACATTAGACTGTTACAAGCTGAAAAAGTTTTGAGTAAAGATTCCTCCTTTCTTTGTCAGAAAAAAAAGGAGATGGGAAGGATCTTCCTCCCATGGATTGGACACTTCCTCCATGTATGCCCATTTAGAGAGATGGAAAGAGAACTGAATAAGCAATAAATTTTGTATGGTGGAATTTCAGGTTATATAATACCTTACCCTAATATTCCCTAATGGGAGCTCTGGTAGCATACTGGCTAAGATACTTGCCTGCTAACCAGACGGCTGGCGGTTCAAACCCACCAGCCACTCCTCGGAAGGAAGGTTGGGCAATCCTACTTCC